AAGAATTGATGGGAGTTTGATTTGCCACTTTGATCTTGGGATTGGTTCTTGGGAGGCGGCGGTAGTTGGCCCGTTTCTTGGTTCTTTTGGGGCGGAGTTTGTTTGGGATCGGGAGAGGAGCAAGCCATTTCCGGGCGGTTCTCGTCGGGGGATTCGCGCGGCCTGAGGCAAGTTCGCCGGCGAAGATGAGGCTGACTGTGCGTGTGATCGGAGCGCGCAACCTGCGCGCCATGGATTTCAACGGGTTCAGCGACCCGTATGTGAAACTGCAGGTTGGGAAGCAGCGGTTCAAGACCAAGGTGGTCAAGATGAACCTGAACCCGGAGTGGGATCAGGAGTTCAGCTTCGTCGTCGCCGATGTCCGGGAGGTGCTCAAGTTAGATGTCTATGATGAAGACATGATCGGGACCGATGACTTCCTGGGCCAGGTGAGGGTGACACTGGAGGATCTTCTGGCCGCGGAGAACTTCTCGCTCGGTACGCGCTGGTACCAGCTTCTTCCCAAGACCAAGAGTGACAAGGCAATTAATTGTGGTAATTGTTTCGACTTCCAGTTTTTCTCTATTTGCTCATGGACGTTTGTAATGTTAAGTAATGTTTTTCTTTGTCTTTTTGCATATGGATTCAGTATTTGACTTCGTGAAATTACAGCATGTAGTCATTTATCTATTGCTAACTGTAAGATCTACAAGGGCATGAATTCTACTTACTATGTAATTGTGCGAAATATGCTGGGCACTTAGCTGTTTTTTTTGTTATTTCGTTGCATCCTGCAGGGGAGATTTGTCTTGCAATATCTTTAGAAACAGCTGGGGCCACACGATCATGGTCCGATGATCTTGCAACTGAACTAACTGGTACACAGAAAGAGGATTCGTTGCAATCAAGTCAAAGCGCAGGATCATCATCAGCGGCATTAGCTTATGAAGAAAATGAAGCTTCTAAAGAAGATAATGTTAATGAGTATTTTTCTGATGGAACTGAAATCCCTGAAGATGACAAATGTGGCGAAGTGAGAGATCCAGAGGACAGGTTTAATGGGATTCCTACTGAAATTTCTAATGAAGCCGAAACTTCTAAAACAGAAAAGCTTGACAAGCCCTCGCTTGTTGATCGTGTCTATCAAATGTTTGCCAAGAAAAATGATGATATTTCGTCAACATCATTGACAAAGACCGAGGCTTTAGAAGAAGTTCAGCAAGCACCAGCAGTATTTGAGGCTCCTTTAAGCCAAAATAGTGACATTTCTTCAGAGATTACATTTGCTGAACTATTGAGATCTTTTGAATCGAGGCACGAAGAAGTCGAAATGCCTGTGAATTTACAAGGAATTCTTGTTAACCAGTCATATTTTACGTCACCTAGTGATTTGAATAACCTTCTCTTCTCACCAGATTCAGATTTTCGGCAAACATTGGTTCAGCTTCAGGGTTGTACTGATTTCAAAACTGAACCCTGGAGAATTGATAATGATGGGGAGTCCCTGAAGAGAGTGATAAGTTATACAACTGCACCATCCAAATTGGTTAAAGCTGTAAAGGCAACAGAGGAACAATCTTATTTGAAGGCTGATGGAAAAGAGTATTCAGTTTTATTAAGTGCTAGCACTCCTGATGTTCCTTGTGGTACTTATTTTCGGACAGAGGTTCTTTTCCGTATTATGCCAGGCCCTGAACTTGATTCTGAGCAACAGACTTCACATTTGGTAATTTCTTGGCGCATGAATTTTCTTCAGAGTACTATGATGAAAAGTATTATAGAAAATGGAGCAAGACAAGGCTTGGAGCAAAATTATTCACAGTTCTCTGATCTACTGTCAGAGAAGATCAAGCCTATTGATGTAGATGATGCTGGATCAGATAAGGAGCAGGTCTTAGCTTCATTGCAAGGGGGGCAGGAGTCTGATTGGAAGATAGCATTCCTATACTTCTGTAACTTTGGTGTCTTGTCCTCTCTTTTTGTTGCCTTGTACATTGGTGTTCATGTTTCACTAGTGAATTCAGGTGCAGTTCAGGGACTTGAGTTTCCTGGATTAGATTTGCCAGATTCTGTCAGTGAGATTGTCATGGGCGGGCTATTGTTTCTTCAGGTGCAACACATATTTAAGAAAATCATGTGTTTTTTTCAGGCAAGAGAACAAAAAGGTATTTTCCCCGTTTTTATCTTCTCATCATTTTGCATCTCCAGCAAGCATGTACCTGAACCTCTTTGGAAATACAAGATTCTCATTATTAACAAACCATGGCTATATCTAACATGTTACACACATTTTTTTGGATCTTTTATTTTTCTTGATGCAAAAGAAATATGGAACTTCTGACATTTTTTTCCTCAAGGAAACTTATGGGTAAATACCATAGTAATTTGACTATTTTTTATGTACACTATTGAATCTTGTAGACATGAATGTGATTATGCTAGGCTAATAGTTTCCCTCACGCAGTTGGTGATCATGGTGTGAAAGCACAAGGCGATGGATGGTTGCTAACTGTTGCCTTAATTGAGGGAACTAATTTGGCACCAGTCGATGCTACTGGTTTCTCTGATCCTTATGTGGTATTTACTTGCAATGGTAAAACCAAAACAAGCTCAATCAAGTTCCAAACACTTGAACCTCAGTGGAACGGTATGTGTTCTGTTGAAGAGTTTCTGATTTTTCTTCCGAAACATATCACTGAGGAAGATTAACTTGGGAACTCCTCATTTTAGTAGAAAAGATGGAGCCATGTGATATACCTGCATCTGGAAACTAAATAATTTTTCATAAATGTTGCAGATATCTTTGAGTTTGATGCCATGGATGATCCTCCATCAGTTATGAATGTGCATGTATATGATTTTGATGGACCATTTGACGAAGTTACCTCTCTTGGACATGCTGAAATCAACTTTGTGAAATCAAATCTGTCAGAGCTAGCGGATGTATGGATTCCTCTTCAAGGTAACTTGGCTAAGTCCAGGCAGTCTAAGTTACACCTAAGAATCTTCTTGAACAACTCAAAGGGCACTGGTATGGTCACTGAGTATCTGAGCAAAATGGAGAAAGAAGTTGGTAAGAAGGTGAGTGCTTTCCTTCCCATATTGCCGAAGCATACTGTTAATTTGTGATTTTCCCCTTGTCTGATCTGGGTTACTGCTGCCAGATGACGTTGCGGTCTCCTCGAACTAATACTGCATTCCAGGAGCTCTTCTCTCTGCCTGCAGAAGAATTTCTAATCAGCAGTTTTACCTGCTACTTGAAGCGGAAATTGCCTACACAGGTACTTCTCGAATTGCGACTTAACACTGTTTTGAACTTAGTTCACAAGTAGATTACTATAGTGTAGAGGAAGGCCAAACGGCATGACTTGAAGGGAAATTGAGGTTTTGGAAGGTGGAGTTGGAAGTGGAACATATATAGAGTATCATGGGGAGACTATATTGATTCTTTTTTGCTTGAGCGCACAACGTATATATAGGCCTGACACAACTGTCCCGTAAGGCCCTAAGGCTTGAACTTCTCTGATTCATATCTTACCCAGGAAGCACGAAACACATAAGCTTAACTTGCAGAGTTGCTAATTTTGAACTCCTTATTCAGTTACTCTCATAAATGCCTTTTGAAAAAAAAAACTCTTAAAACGATGCTGGCCTGATATGTGATTCATTGGTTTGCATGCTGCTAACTTGTGCATGTGGGACCTTTTATCAACTATGAACATCTCAGATTGTCAAGTTCTAACATGTGGATTGAAAATAAAAGTTCAGATTATTTTCATGTTATTACATGTGCAATTTCAAATAGTACACGAATATCAAATAAATAGCTTGCTAAGGGTTCAGTCAATATTCATTTCAGGGCCATCTTTTCTTGTCTCCAAGAATAATTGGATTTTATTCAAGCATGTTTGGCCGGAAAACAAAGTTTTTCTTTCTATGGGAGGATATTGAGGACATACAGGCAATTCCCCCATCACTATCGACATGGAGTCCATCCCTTGCAATAACTCTTCACAGAGGTAGAGGCATGGATGCAAAGCATGGTGCGAAGAGCGTAGAGAGTGGAAAGCTGAAGTTTTCTCTGCAATCTTTCGCATCATTTAGTGTGGCCAATAGGTAATCTCTACCTTCCTTAAATAATGAAGTGCTTTAGCTCCACTAACACCAAAATACTCAAAGGTTTACCTATAGCAACCGCCAGCCTAGACCATCAATACATATCTGCATTGATACACATAGCACCTTGGACTATTCGTATGACATTATTGTTCTTGTTATTTTACCCTTGCCCTTATTTTTTGGTGCTTTACAGGACAATAATGGCGTTATGGAAAGCAAGATCATTGAGCTCCGAGTCTAAAGTACAGATTGCTGAGGAACAATCTCAAAATAATACACTTCAGAGTGAGGACAGTGGGATTTTTGTTGGTGTTGACGATTCCAAGAGCCTTCAGATGAGTGAAGTTTTCTCGTCAACCATTTCTGCTAATGTAAGTTCAGTAAAATTTGCAGCTGCAATTTTTGGAACTGCTTATGATGAACTTTAATCGCCAGATGGTTAACTGAAGTATATGTGTCTTTTGCCAGATGAATTCACTTCTGGAGGTGTTCGAAGGAGGTTCATTGGAGATGAAAGTCATGGAGAAAGTTGGATGCCTCAAATACTCGGCTACACAATGGGAATCAGATAAACCCGACGAATATCAAAGACAAATTCATTACAAGTTTAGCAGGAAGTTGTCTCCTGTTGGAGGAGAAGTGACTGGGACCCAGCTGAAATCTCCTATGCCCAATAAGAAAGGGTGGATTATTGAAGAGGTGATGGAACTTCAAGGCGTCCTTCTTGGTGACTTCTTCACGGTATGTCGATATACTTGAAACTTCTGCTCACATCTCAGAAAAATAAAACCATGTGTTTACTAGTGAGCCAGTTTGACTTTAGAGTACACCTATCTAAATGGGATACCACTTCAAGAAACATCTGCCATTGAAAACTAGTTGCATCCCTCGCTTGCCATTTGTTTTTAAATTTTAAGTGGGTTATTGTACTAAAGTTGCATCATTTTATTTTCTTAAATTTTAAGTGGGTTTGTTGAAATCCCTGTATGAGCCTACCCCAACTTGTTTGGGACTAAACGCTCTGTTGTTGTTGAAATCCCTGTATGGAGGATTTGTTTGATTCAAAAGGTTAGTACTAAACTACAGGCAGCTTTTAATAAAAAAAAAATCATCTGCTGGTTCGAAAGACGAAACGGCTTCAGTGAATGATCCAACTTTAGTATTACTTTAAACAATGTGAGTATAGGTTTACCATGAGGTATATGTGACATGCATTGCATAATTTCGTGAGCAATCTTTATTAGCTTGTCCCTTTGTCCATTTTCCTGATTAAAGATGGAACCAGGCACGACATCTCTTCCATCCGGAGAAGAGAATTTGCAGAGGCCATACATACAAGCTAAAACAGCAGGATTGTACT